GCCGAGCTCATGCAGCTTCCAGTGCCAGAGCGAGAAGCCCCGTGGCACCTGCCGGCCCCACCACTGTACCAGAACCTCCCTCTCTGCTGGCCAGGCCTTGCCCCTTCCTGGAGACTTCCACGAGCACTGAGGCAGGTGGAAGGATCCCAGCAACTGCATCCGGTGCAGACGCTGCCTGTGAACTGGAGTAGGGAGAGGAGCCCTTGCTCGTTCTTCCTCCCCATCCCCCCTGAGCTGGGGGAGGGGTCACAGAGCCCTGTGGCCTCAGGGAAGGGGCCAAGGGGGACCCCAGGAGCCCCAGCTTCCCTGTTGGGGAGGAGAGGAGCCACAGAGCCTTCCCATCCCGAGTCGTTCCCAGGTTGACGGCTTGCTGCAGGTCAGACATGCGCGTACACCTGGCCCGCAGCGGCATAGGCGATGGGGATGGCCCAGTGGGTGTTTCCGCCCTGTGAAGTCTCAGGGCGTGTGGGGAGTGGCCGACACTGGACAGACCATGACGTCAGGCCGGGGTCTCGAGTCAGGACCTGGTGCTCCTGCGCAGGAGATGGGGAGAGTGGGTGCTGTGCTCCTTGCTGAGCCGCAGAGCTGCTCTGCTTCCCGAGTCAGGTGGCGGGGAGGGCTGTCGCTGCTCCGGAACGCCATGGGAAGCTCTGCCTGCTGCCTTGGAATGCCACTCAGGGGGCGCCAGGCCTGCCCTGGGCTGGGCAGCCAGAGGATGTGGTACACTGGGAAGGGTCCCGTGCCTCTCTCATGGATGTTGCTGGAGCCCTAGGGGCCCTTGGGACTTGCAGGAGGATTTGGAGACAGTGGGGTAGATTCTGCACCGGGCACCACCATGTCACTTCCCACCCAGTGTCAAGTTTCTTCTGTGGTCGAAACATACTTTTCATCAGGACAAGATCAGGATGGCACTGTCAGAGGTCACGGGGTCAAGTGCACCTCGTGATGTCAGAGGTCACAGGGCCAGGGTACCAAGTGAAGTGAGGTGTTTATTTTGCAGGTTGCAGCACCAGTCTCTAGTCTTACAGGGAAACTGAAATTGATTCGGCAAAGTAGCTGAAGCGGGGTGCCAGCGGCTGCAGGTGTGCAGGGTGGGGGGGCTTCAGAGCTGGAGAGCCAGACCCTGGGGTGAGCCTGGTTCCTGGGCTGCAGGATGGGGCCCCAGGGCTGGGACTTAGCTGGAGGGGGCACCTGCACGCAGGCAGCAGCAGCCGTGCCCTCCTGGATGGAGCCTGCATGCTGGCTTCCTGCGCAGCGTCTTGGCGTGCCCAGTGAATTATTGATCACAGAGCCCCGGCTCATCCCTGAAGCAGAGCAGGTGCTCAGGAGCCCAGCGGCCCCGAGGTCTCACGGGATGATGGAGAGGCTGGGCTTGCAGTGTGAAGCCAGGAGCCCAGGCTCAGGCCACTTTCCCACCAGACACAATGTGGGAAACCAGGGTTGGAGCAGACCCTGGCCTGGGCGGGAGTGGCCACCTGCCGGACAGCCCCGAGAGCCTGTCCTCTGGGCTGCACGATCCCAGGGCCCCGGCCAGGTGCCCCAGTGTGCCAGGTGCACATTGTGTGAGGAGGTAGTTGGTTTCCTTTAATTGACATGTAGAAAACCCTCAGAAAGTGACCAATGGCATCTCAGTTCTCTGCATCTTTATTAAACTGGTTTTCAGGAAAACAGATTTCAATAAAAATGTACCAGAGGGAGATACTTCTCCAGGCTCCTCCTCTCCAGAAGCCTGCAAACCAAGAAAGAAACGGAGACAGGGCCGTGGACCTGGATCTTAGATAGCTCCTCGCCCTCCCCCCAGAGCCTCCAGTCCTGTGCAGCCCCAGGCTCCATCAGCATCCAGGTCCTCGGACACCACGTGGTCTCCTGTGTCACCGCTTTCACCTTGGCGACAGCGCGTGAGGTCTGGTATGGAGTGCGAGGCTTTGGCCTTGCTGTCTGTGTCCAGCAGTGCCCACTGCAGGAGCTGACCCCACGCTGTGCGTCCCGCTGTCTGCCATGATGCCCCTTTCCTGTCCCTCTCGCGGGGCCTGAGGCTGCCCTGTGAAAGAGTCAGGAACCCTGCATGTCCGAGGACCGGGGCCACTGTGGGGCTGTCCTTGTGGGCCGGCTCCAGGCTGCAGAGCGTCACATGACGAAGGATGGGGCGTGGGGCTGCGTCTGCCTGCTTGTTCCTGTAGTCCTCAGGGTCTCCGACCTGCTGCGCCCACCTCGTCCTCCTGGCCCCTCTCAACACCGCCGTCAGACTCAGTGTGGGATTGAACCCCATGATGGGAGGCCTGGGGGGACATGCAAACCTGCCCAGAGCCCTTGGGCTGTGTGCACTTTTGACCTTGGGTTTCATGCCATTTGACCTGGAGACCTGGTGTGGACGGCGGGGCCCTCAGTCACTCCGTCTCTGTTGTTGAGGTGCTGCCGCCCTCCCACAGCTGTGACGAGGTCTCTGTGTCACCACTGTCCTTTGCAGGTAACTGGCTCCCTGGCCATGCGGAGAAGGGACCTTAAGGGACCTTCAGTTGCTCTGCCCAGCTCCCTGCAGTAAGGTTGGAGTTGCTGGCCAGGTGGGCACCCCTGCCCATTGAATAACTCAGAGCCCCGTGCTACCTTCCTGGGGTGAGGCCCCATGTTGAGCGAGCAGGTCACCAGGAGGTGCCTCTCGCTGGGGGTTGGAAGGAGGAGGGGACAGGGACTCCAGGATTGCCCAGGGGTTCTCAGAGATGCCGTGAAGACACGGAAACCTTGAGCCTGTGTGAGCCCGAAGGCCCGAAGGCTCCCGTGGGGTAGGCAGAGCAGAGCGCCTGGGACCTCGACAGGAAGAACAAGTCAGCTTGGCCCTGCCCCACTGCTGCCGTTGTTTCCTGCGTAACAGCTGGGTGCCTGGGAGTGAGAGTTTCTATGGTAACCAATTACAACCCGTGATTGGGGAAAACATCTCAAAAACATCCCGTATGTGAAGTGATGCTGGGCACCCAGCATGTGCTTAGGAGCCCTGGGTTTCCTTTCAAGTCCCAGCGGCTGGAGTGTGCTTGTTGGTGCTTTGGGGCTGGAGGAAGGGTGGTAGTGGAGATGTTATGGAGGCCTGCGGAGGCATGGTGGAGTCTGGTGTGAGCTGGTGGGGTCTGGTGTGAGTTGATGGGGTCTGGTGTGAAGTGGTTGGTTCTAGTGTGAGTTGGTGGGTCTGGTGTGAGCTGGTGGGGTCTGGTGTGAGTTGGTGGGGTCTGGTGTGAAGTGGTGGGGTCTGGTGTGAGCTGGTGGGGTCTGGTGTGAGTTGATGGGGTCTGGTGTGAGTTGGTGGGGTCTGGTGTGGGCTGATGCCCCCAGCATCATCTCAGAGATGAGTCTCCTTCCTTTGGGGCCTGATTCCCAGCTGGCTGTCCAGGTTGGACGAGCCACCCAGAGGTGCAGGGTGCCTCAGGGGAGCTGTGCTCTGCCCTGTTTCCGGGCGTGGGGATGGTCCGGTCCTTGTGCTGAGCCAGGTCGCTGCATGGCAGGGTGGCTGGTGCTGAAAGCCCCAGCCGGGCGCCCTGTGTGCAGGCATTAGCATAATGAGCAGGCCTCATTTCTGCAGCGAAGCACTGGCAGTCTGATTAAAAACTGAGGCCTTATTATCTGGAGATTGGTCCTTCGTGGTAATTAGCGCTCATTAACACACGTTTCTTTCTCTCATCATCCCTGTGACCCTGGGAGAGCAGCTTGTTCCGACAGCAGCCAGTGTCAGCCCCGGGCATGCCACGCAGGAGGCGAGGGAGGCCCGGCATAGAGCTGCACGCCCTCACGTGGCACACGGGCCGGCCTGACACACCCATGCACCGACCTTCCCACGGACACACACACTCAGCTGCACGCCCTCACGTGGCACACGGGCTGGCCTGACACACCCATGCACCGACCTTCCCATGGACACACAGCTCAGTGTTGGAGACGCAGTGGCATGCCGGCACTCTCATGTTTGCATTGCGCACACTGACACGCAGCTCGCTTCTATGCATGCTGAGCTCCCGAGCACACACTATTCATTCTGCCATAGATGGCAGATGCCCGCTGTGTGCGTGTGCCTGGCTGAGCTGCACTGCAGGTGGGGGCTGGTGCACCTGACGCCCTTGCCACTGTCAGCGAGTTTTTGGAGGCGCCCTAACTTTCAGGCTGCTGACGGAAACCGACTTTGAATGGCACCTGTAATCACCTCTCAATTGTCGCTGCTGGGGAGCAAGGATGTGGCTTGGCTCCTGTGTGAGCATCTCAGCCTGTCTGGAGGCACCCCAGCCCTGGGGGACGGGTGGGGGGCTGGCCTGAGGGGCCTGGACCAGCGGCTCCAGCTGCATCTTCCCACCCCCACCGCCGGCCCCCTCCCTTGCCAAGCCGGGCGGAGTTGGCCCTTCCTCCGCCTGCGCAAGCTGAGGTAGAGGGAGGGTTGCAAAGGGCACCCTGCACTGCGGATAAACAGCGAAAATGTCAACAGGACAAGCCTCTGGCTGCGCCTCTCAGCTTACCCCCAGCGGATCTCGCTTCCCGGGTGACACCCGACCTGGCCAGGACTAAGCAGCTCCCTGAGCGCAGCAGGCCGGGTAGCACCTCACGCAGAGACACACGCGTTCAGCCAGAAGGCTATGTGCAGGGCGGGGGCCACAGGCAAGCGTCTGGGAGTCTGCAGCTCAGTTCTGCCCAGGCTCCGGGGAGGGCTCTGGCCTCTTGTGACCAGTACAGGAAGGTGCCTGGCCCGGAAGCCCACCTGGGGCCTGGGGCCGGGCCATCACCTCCATTTGTGGCCTCCTTTTGTTGCCCTGTGTCAGAGCTGACCCTGGTGTGGGTGTCTGGGGCTCAGTCTTCCCTCCCCTGGAATGGGCAGCTGCTTCGTGTCTGGTGCTAGGTCAGAGCTGTTGATCGCCGCGCAGCCGGGGCTGGCCTAGAGGGGCCCACAAGGACACACCCGAGCCGGCTCCCAGCCCGTGTCCCCTCTCCCCAGCTCCCGTGGTGACCACTCCTCTCTCTCTCCCACACAGCTCCATGTCCATCCGCCGGTCCCTGGGAAGCCACGCGTGGATTCTGATGGCCGTCCTGCAGCTCGCTGTGGATCTCTCATGCTGCGAGTCACGGGGCCCTGGCCCTGACTTCCGGCTGCTTCCCCGGCCGCCACCCCGGCCACCTCGGCTGTGGAGTTTGAAAAGCGGACAGCCGGCCAGGCCCGCCGCCACCCAGGTGTGGAGCCCCCGGCCAGCCCGCGGGGAGCGCCTGCACGGGCTCATGCAGGCTGCCCGTGCCAAGCGGGCCCACAGGCCCAGGGACCAGGCGGCTGCCCTCGTGCCCAAAGCGGGGCTCGCCAAGCCCCCAGCCGCCGGCCGTTCCAGCCCCTCACTCGCCTCCCCTGCCTCAGCCTCGGCCCCAGCGGCTGCAGCCGGCAGCAGCGCAGAGCGGAACAGCCTCCTGGGCAGGGCCAAGAGGCAGGTGCAGAGGCAGGGCTTCAACAACTTTGACTTCCGGGGCAGCCGGCCCACCACAGAGCCCGAATTCATTGCCTGGGGCCCCACGGGGGACGAGGAGGCCCTGGAGTCGAACACCTTTCCGGGCCTCTTTGGCCCCACCACAGTCTCTGTCTTGCAAACACAGAAGACGACAGCGGCTGCCACCACCACTGTCACCACCACCACGGCCACCTCGTTGACACTACAGACTAAGGGGATAACCGAGCCCCTGGATCCCGGGAAAAGGATCCCCTTCGGGCTTAGCACAACGGAGCTTCCTACCAGTCCTGGCAACAACGGCAAAGACATCCAGACACCTCGGATCCTGGGGGACACGTCAGGTAGGACCCCAGGCTGGGTGGGGCAGAAGGATACTTGGGCCGTGGGGCTTCGGGCGTGACTGAGCCAGCAGGTGCAGCTGGAGCTCCAGCAAAGGATGAGTCAGAGAAGGCCTGAAACTGTCCCGGGCCACGGCTGCGTCTCGGGAATCAGAATTTTGTGAAGGAGTTAAGGGCTCTGGTGGGGTCTTCAGATGCCCACGCCCCTGCAGTTGTGAGCTTTGGGGTGCAGAGGAATGGCCTGACGGGCCTTGGGGGCCAGGCGGGATGTGGCCTCAGTGCAGGACAGGAGGCGGTCATGGGGAAGAGGGAGTTGTCTGGCTTCAAATAGGAGCTTCTCTGGGCTGGGCTGGGCTGGGCTGGGCCTGGGGCTGGAACTGGGCTGTGCTGTGCTGGGGTGTGCCTGGGGCTGGGCTGGGCTGGGGTGTGCTTGGGGCTTCTCTGGGCTGGGCTGGGGTGTACCTGGAGCTATGCTGGGGTGGGGTGTGCCTGGGGCTGGGCTGGGCTGTGCTGTGCTGGGGCTGTGCTGTGCTGAGCTGGGCTGGGCTGTGCTGGGCTGGGGTGTGCCTGGGGCTGTGCCTGGGGCTGGGCTGGGGTGTGCCTGGGGCTAGAGCTGGGCTGGGGTGTGCTGGGGTGGGCTGTGCTGTGCTGTGCTGGGCTGAGCTGGGGCTGAGCTGGGCTGGGCTGGGCTGGGCTGGGCTGGACTGTGGCTGGGGCTGAGCTGTGCTGTGCTGTGCTGTGCTGTGCTGGGCTGGGCTGGGGCTGAGCTGGGCTGGGCTGGGCTGGGGCTGAGCTGGGCTGAGCTGGGCTGGGACTGAGCTGGGCTGGGCTGGGCTGGGCTGGACTGTGGCTGGGGCTGAACTGGGCTGGGCTGGGCTGGGGTGTGCCTGTGGCTGGGCTGGGCTAGGCTAGGCTAGGGTGTGCCTGGGTCTGTGCTGGGGTGGGGTGTGGCTGGGGCTGTGCCTGGGGCTGGACTGGGCTGGGCTGGGCTGTGCTGGGCTGGGGTGTGCCTGGGGCTGTGCTGGGCTGGGCTGGGCTGTGCTGGGCTGGGGTGTGCCTGGGGCTGGCCTGGGGCTGGGGTGTGCTGGGCTGGGGCTGGGCCTGGGGCTGGAATGGGCCTGGGGCTGGGCTGGGCAGGGCTAGGCTGGGCTGGGGTGTGCTGGGCTGGGGTGTGCCTGGGGCTGGGCTGGGCTGGGGCTGGGCCTGGGGCTGGGCTGGGGCTGGGCTGGGCCTGGGGCTGTGCCTGGGGCTGGGCTGGGCCTGGGGCTGGCCTGGGGCTGGGGTGTGCTGGGCTGGGGCTGGGCTGGGCTGGGGCTGGGCCTGGGGCTGGGCTGGGCCTGGGGCTGGGGCTGGGCTGGGCTGGGCTGGGGCTGGGCCTGGGGCTGGGGCTGGGGCTGGGGCTGGGCTGGGCCTGGGGCTGGGCCTGGGGCTGGGCTGGCCTGGGGCTGGGCTGGGCTGGGGCTGGGCTGGGCTAGGCTGGGCTGGGGTGTGCTGGGCTGGGGTGTGCCTGGGGCTGGGCTGGGCTGGGCTGGGGCTGGGCTGGGGCTGGGCTGGGGCTGGGCTGGGGCTGGGCTGGGGCTGGGCTGGGCTGGGGCTGCAGCTTGTTCTGGCTTCAGTTCTGTTGTTGTAATCCTGCCACTGGAGCCGTTGTCCTGGCCTGACTCTGAAGTATCCCCTTGTGTGGAATCTGGTTCTTCGCCTTCTTCTTATTACCCAGCTGGAGCTTGTCCCTGCCTGGGTAGCTGTGGGGAGAGACCTCAGAGCCTGGCACCTTGTCACAGTCCCCACCTCCTGGGCCTCTGCTGGTCGTGCGGGGTACTCTGTGATCCGGTGTCCACCGACAGCCTGAGCCTGTGTGTCATAGACACGGCCGTGTGGCTGCCTCCAGGGATTATGATGTCCCCTGGGGGCTTCTGCATTTCAGGGTCAGCCTTGCTGGGCTGGGCCTCTGGCAGAGTCCAGAGATGAGGAGGCAAACCTATTTCCCGCGTCTACCTGCTTTGTGGCTGCATAGCATCCCGTGCGCTGGCCGAGCTCTGCCTGCAGCTGGTCAGGTGGGCAGCTGTCGGGAGCCACGTTGCTTTTCCGGGGTGGACGGCACTCTGCCTCCAGCCAGGATTTGCTTCTTGCTCCTGCCCGTTGTCCTCCAAGCTGACAGCAGCGTGTCCTGCATGGCAGAGCCTGCTGCACGGGAGGGGCTGCAAGGCGGGTGCAGCTCAGGCCATGTCACCGTCAGCCCCTGGAGGAATCGGTGTGCGCTGCAGTGCCTGTGGCAGGTGCTTGCAGACAGTTCACTGAGCGTTTGATTTTGCCACATGAACTCACAAGCCTTGGTTATAAGGGAGAGTGGGGCTCCCTCCCTGCTGTCACCTCTCTGTACACGTCATTTGCTATAGAGACACGGATGAGAAAACAAGTTCCTGTTTATTGCAAATTACATTTGTTATTACAAAAGTTAAACGCCCGGGACAGCATTCTAAGCCTCAGCAAATGAATTCACAGCACATTGGACGCCGCCAACCCAACCAGACAGATGCTCATCTCGGAAGAGTCACCGTCCTCCGTGATATAATCCGGTGCTAGATTAATTTGTTTAGCAAAGCAAATTCAAAAGGGGGAAATACGCGTGCTCTAGCTTCATCACGGAGGGGTGTTGGCTCCAGAAGCAGGCCGCCAGGCTGCAGAGGAGGGAGTCCGGGGTGCAGGGCCACCCTCGGGAGGAGCTGAGCAGGATCCCCAGCCACCAGGAAGTAGAAAGTGCTGAGATGGTTCGCATAGCTGGTACATGCCAGCCCCACGGGTGCTGTAGAACTGCGTTCGACACAGCAGGAGCTATTCCGGTTAGACACCACAAAGAACTGTCTGGTGACTCAGAGGCCAGCTCTCCCCTGGGCTCCTTCCAATAGGCCGTGTCATCCGTCTCCTTCTCTGGGAGGCGCAGGTGCAGGGGGTTGGGCATGGGTGAGAGAATGAGCGGTTGAAGCTTCCTGGGTGGGGCGGAGAACAGCAGTTACCACAGAGAGGCCTGGGTGCCCGACTCTTAGTGGTTTGAGGCTGAGGGTCCGGGGTGGCCCCGGGCTCGGCTGCACGCAGCTGCGTGGCACCCGCGTGGTCTTTGCTCTCTGTCTCCTTTCCTTCTAAGTAGAAGCTTGGCACAGCTTGTCCTGGGCAGCCGCTGGGTAGATGATGTGCCCAGGCCCTGCGGCGTCCCTGAGCAGCCCCTAAGGACATCCTTTGTCATGTGTCCAGCAGATGTGGTTCTGGGGACAGGACTGCAGTGCCAGAGGCTCCAGGCGCTGCCAGCCTTGCCATCCAGCCTGGAATCTGACGAGGGTTTGGGGAAGTGTCCAGCTGGGAACCCCAGAGCCAGGCTGGGTCCTGGCTTGCGTCTGGGGAGGCGTGGAGTGCGTCACTGTCCTGGGCCGTGGGTCTGTAGTGCAGGCCTCGTGGGAAGGCCTGGTTGGAGGCGACTCAGGACTCTCTGAAATCCCTTAGAGGGATCCAGCTGTAGTTACGCGGTGCGTGTCCGGAGCCTGTTGGGATGGCAGCAGCATTTGCCCCCAACCCCTGCTACCCCCTGCAAATGCTTAGCACTCCAGTCTTATTTTAGTATTGAAGGGTTGTGGTTAAAGTGGATGGCTTAGGGTGTAGACATGACCTGAATGTGACACCTGGAAGTGGGGTCTGGTGGGAGGGCTTTGGTTGGGGGCTTACCCTCGGCAGGTGGGTCTGGCCAGAGCGGGGGTCCTGTGAGCTGACAGTTCTTCAGCCGTGGGGGAGGCAGCCGGGCAGTCAGCCTGTGCCTCAGAGGAGAGCTCAGGTCCTTGCTGCCCTCCCTTGCCTGGCTTCCCGTCCCTTGAACTGGACTGACTTGGGCAGCCTGCTCGTGTCCTCGGGGCCTCCATGGGAATAACGAGTCAGTCATCTGCTAACCTTGTTGCCAAAATTCAAGGAGATGGTGCAAGCGGGTTCTCAGTGCTGGGACACATTGTGATGTGGAGGCTGGTGGGGACAGAGACGATGGTGATGGAGATGGTGGGGGTGTTGTGGAGGGTGGTGAGGAATGAGACGATGGTGTTAGTGGGAGTGATGGAGATGGTGGTGTTGGTGATGGTGTTGGTGGTGATGGGGGTGATGACAGTGGTGATGGTGTTGGTGGTGGTGGTGGTGGTGATGCTGGTGATGATGGTGATGGAGATGGTGGTGATGGTGTTGGTGGTGATGCTGGTGATGGTGGTGTTGGTGATGGTGTTGGTGGTGGTGAGGGTGGTAGCAGTGATGGAGATGGTGGTGTTGGTGAAGGTGAAGGAGATGGTGGTGGTGACGATGCTGGTAGCTGATGGAGAACAGGAGAAGAAGATGGTGGTGATGATGGTGGTGTTTGTAGGAAGATGAGGATGATAATGATGACGCTGATGGCTAATGTGCTGTTTGCTGCTGCAGCAACTTTGGGGGTCATTTGATGGGGTCATTTGATGGGTGTTTAGGGCCCCTCTAAGGTGTGGGAGGTCCTCGTCGCACGCTTGGGATGGAAAGTCACACAGAGCATGTCCCCAGGCACGCTGTCTCATGTGCATGGGAGGCCGAGGTGGCCCCAGCTCAGCTCTGTCCTCCTTGAGCGGCTCCCCTGTGGGTCATGTTCCCAATGCAGAGTCACCAGGGCTCCCTGGAGGAGAGGCGTACAGTCGTTTCCTGAGCTTTATGTGGAAACTTCACGGGGAGCTGCTGGGAGCTGCAGCCAACTGGAGCCTGCCCAGGGTTGGCAGGCCTCGGGGCTGCGGGTCCAGCCCGGGCCGGTGCCCCTCAGCTGCCCACATCTGGTCACAGCTGCTTGTGCCCGTGTTGTGCAGTGGGGGCCTCCAGGAGGAGAGCAGGAGGCCCGTAGCACTCACATCGCTGTTTGTCACTTGTGTCCAGGACACTGGCGGCTCAGGGTGCCTGGCCTGGCCATTTTTACACTGTTCAGGAATGAATTCCAGGCCCCTAGTCCTTGTCACCGTGGA